AACTAAACCTGCTTTGGAAAACTTTAAACTTTCAAGGGTACAACTAAAACATAAAACCCTTCTCCTCTCTAGAAAACAGGTAATGAACCAGGTTTCAGTTTTAAAGTTAAGAGGGGCACCTTTCAGCATTCCCGGGGTCCATGGAGCTTAGCTACAGCGCAGACTCCCTACAGCGCTACGCGGAAGGGGCAGCTTACTTCCCTCCAATGAAAAGTCCCTTCTTCCTCCGCTGAGCGAAAAATGACCCTGAAAAGCAGGTTTCCAAAAGCCTATTTCCCGAAAGAATTAAAAAGAACACCTTTGTAATTATTAAGAAGGCTACCCTAAGATTAAGCGTCATAAAGTTCAGTTACTTGAAAACTTGTTATCGGCTTAAGAAAATTACTTTCTAAAAGTTCCTCCCGACCCCCATTAAACCTAGGGCTAATAAAACTACCAATAAAAATCAGTTTGAAAACCAAAGAGAGTGAACCAAACACCTTTAGTTTTTGAGAGTGGCTAAAAGGAACATATTCATGAAAAACTCCGTTTGCAGGGCTACTAACGAGGACAAGGAAAAATACGAAGCGGAACCCAGCGCGAAGCCAAGTTGAGCGAAGTGAGCAGAGGACTCCGGCCGCTCCTGAGCCCTCGGGCGCTCCCGGGCCCCCGCGCCGAGCCGGGCACTTCCGCCCACGGTCAGCCCTGGGCTCGGCGACCGCTCGCTCACATACCACTGGCGTGTGCAGGGTGCAGGGTGTGCACCCGCGGAAAGGGGGGCGGGGAGGACTGGAGTCGCCCTGCCTCCTCCCGACCGCTGCCCACACCGGGGAAGCGGGGAGCCAGATCGCACTCAGAGGGGTCCCCGCGAGATCCCGGTTCGCTTCCCCAGTATCTCCACCCTGCCTTGTGGGCCTTTCAGTAAGATCAAGGAGAGGAAGCCAAACGCAGGAGAAGGGAGCCTTGCCCACGCCGCTACAGGGCCTCCCGGACAGGTCTGGGACCATCACCCACCCTTCACCCTATTGTTCCCCCTTAAGAATTCCGTCCGACCCCCAACCGCCGCCCCTCCCCCACCACGGCAAAATGAGGCAAAACCGGGCCCCGCCGCCGCCGCCACCGCAGGGACCGGCGTTCCCCGACCCCCACTGGGCTCGGACTCCGCTCTCGGTCGCTCACTCACCCATCAAAATGCGCATCTGCTTCTTGCCGAAGAGACGGGAGAAGAGGGAGGAGATGGTGAGGCCCATGGCGGTAGTTGCACTCGCGATGGGCAGGAGCAGAAGGGGTTCGGAGCTTCCCCAGGCCTTCTCCGTTCACGCTCCCGGCAAGCTGAGCGAGGAGAGGAGCTAACGAAGAAAGAGGGCGGCAGGGGCGGCTCGCTAGCCGGTCCCCAGCCCTGGTCAGGGTGCATGCAGGAGGCAACCAATTGATGTGTCTCTCTTACATCTATGGTTCTGTCTCTCCCTTTCCCTTTCACTCTCTCTAAAAATCAATGGAAAAATATCCTAAGGTGAGGATTAACAAAAATACATAACTAACACCAGCGGCCCGGCCCCTCCAACGCGGACAGAATCGCGTCACCGCCGGCCCATCCCCCTGCGCTTCCGGTACTGCCCGAGCCACTGCGCCTGCGCCCGCAACGGAGGGGCCAGCTTTGCTGACGTGCATCTCCAGCCGCCGCCACCTCCGGGACGTGGCTGCAGGAAGCGGGCGAGGCCGGTTAGCACAGGCGTACTGGGGGACAAAGTCCCACAATGCCTCGCTTTGTCACTTCCAATCAGACTTTAGCGAGACCCTTCCGCCTGATAAGTGCATCCTGGAGGTTGTCATCCTTGCTTCCGGAAAGGTGGGCTGTGCCTTGCGGGTTGGGAGGCAGTTAACCGTTCTCTATGTCTTTTGGGCGTCGTCCTCCAATGCTACGCGTGTTGGGGATTCCCCGGTCCCACCAACGAACACGTTGCACGCGCTGGACCGGACTCATTCCCTGGTGGAGGACGAGCCGGCGGAGAGCCAGTGGCAACCGCTGAGGAAGCCAGGTCTGCCGCTTCGACTCCCCCCAGGCGAGGTCATACTGAAGATCCCTAATCCTAGGTCAAGACAAGAGAACTATTTTGAAGAACTATTCAGCTTTTAAGAGAAGCCAACGAGTAAGGCTCACTTTTCTACTGTCTCCCAGAAGCATGTAAGATTGATTTCTTACGTTGAGGAAGTGGGAAGCCTTCTCACTTTAAATATATTTATGATCTTGATGTTTTCCTGAATCAAAATAAGGCATACGTCTTGTGGTGGGGGGGAGGGGAAGGTATGAAAAAACAAGTTCCCGGTAATCTTTGCCACTTCCCACAGGGACCCCAATTGCTGCAGCAGTTTAGGATGCTCACCCGCTCTAAAGATCTGTTTCCGTTTCAACCCCCTTGGAAATACTTTCTTGACTGACTAGATAAATCACTCCCA